TGCCCCAAACACAGAGTCCACACCCGGTGGAGACCTGCCCCAAACACAGAGTCCACACCCGGTGGAGACCTGCCCCAAACACAGAGTCCACACCCAGTGAAGACCTGCCCCAAACACAGAGTCCACACCCGGTGGAGACCTGCCCCAAACACAGAGTCCACACCCAGTGAAGACCTGCCCTAAACACAGTGTCCACACCCGGTGGAGACCTGCCCCAAACACAGAGTGCATACCCAGTCATACAACAGTCACATTGCACCCTAACACATCCCCTTACCTCACAAGATCACCAGACACACACACACTTACCTCACACACATCACCACAGACACCTTAACTCACACGCACACCCTTACCTCACACACAGATCACACCACACACACACGCACGCACGCAGCCACAGGTCCTTCCTTACTGGAGGAAAGCTTGTGCCTTGGCCAGGTGAGGTGTCACCAGCAGGAAGTCATCAACCAGTCGCAGGAGCAGCCTGAAAAGAGGAGACTGAGGCTCACGCTGACACTCAACACTGCCTTGTGAGGATTGAGCCCAATACTTGAAACGGCTGAGTTAAAAATGAACGGGGAATGTGCTCTGAAGAGGTGAAGTGACATCTTTGGCTTCCTCTGTCTGTTTTCCTGTAGCGCTGCAGTGTGGCTCGGCGCTCATCTTTGCTAGGCAGGAGCTCTACCACTGAGGGTCTCCCCTGCCGTCTCTGCGCTGGTTATTCTGAAATCAGGTCCTGTGCCAAGATCCTGCCTCCAGGGTCCAGCTCCTCTGGGGTGAGAGGTGCACACCATGCTGGCTCACCTGGTAAGATGGCTCCTGAGAACGTTTTTGCCCCAGCTGGCCTGGAACTGAGATTCTCCCAGGTCAGCCTCCCATGTACTAGGGTGACAAGAGCTCGCATCCACACCCAGCCAGTGTCCCCTGGCTCGGGGTCACCAGCTAACTACCACAGCTGGCTTCTCACACAAACGGACAGAGCCCACACAGAGCTGTGGGACGCCAGGGGGTCACACCCACGCAGCACACACAAGTGTGAAAACACTCACCCATCCTGCTGAATCTCAGGCAGCAACTTGTTCTCCATGTCCCCGTAGCACAGGCTGCAGAGGAGCGGAGACAGGATGGAGCCCTGCGGGATCCCCTGGCACTGGACGTAGCACCTGGTGGAGGGGGCGAGGGCTAGGCGGCAGGCTCTGTGGGCCCTGCCAAGTGCCAGACACAAATGCACACACACCAGGCCGTATGCACACACAACACCGCCGTCCACACACACACCAGGCCGTGTGCACACACAACACCTCCCTCCGCACACACACCAGACAGTGTGCACACACATCACCGCCCTCCACACACACACCACAGTCTGCACACACAACACCGCCCTCCACACACACACCAGGCCGTGTGCACACACAACACCGGTCTCCACACACACACCAGGCCGTGTGCACACACAACACCGCCCTCCACACACACACCAGGCCGTGTGCACACACAACACCGCCCTCCACACACACACCAGGCAGTGTGCACATACAACACCGGTCTCCACTCCCCCCGGGCTGGGCTGCTGTGACAATACCACACTCGGACTCCTTGAGTCTTTCATTAACTGAAGGCTAAGCAGGAATCGAACACGTTTGTCTGGGTCTCTTGTTTTGCTGGGGATTAGTGCCCAGGGCCTTGTGTCCACTAGACTGTCCTCTGGGGGGCAGAGCCCCGCACGCACCTCGGCCTGGCTGTCACGACACCCGACCCTCCCGTTACTTGGGGTGGCAGGTGTGCACCACTGACCCCACGGTGGGTGGTGGGACCTCGCAAACCTCTTCCTGGGCCGGCCTCACGTGACGCTCTTCCCACTCTCACTCTCAGAAGAGCAAGAGGCACCACTGGCACTGGCTCCAGACTCATTTTTTTGGTCAGTCGTGGGGCTTGAACTCAGGGCCTGGGTGCTTGCTGTGGCTAGCCCTCTACCACTGAGCTAGTTATCCACCTCAGGGGACTAACTGGAGCAAGTGTCACAGACTTTCAAACAACAATCCTCAGATCTCAGTCTCCAGAGTAGCTGGGATTACAGGTGCGAACCACCAATGGCAGGTGGGACCCGTTACTTCTGGAGCCCTTAGCCACTCATACGGACAGATCACCTCCAGGTGGTGGCCGTATACCAAAAAATAAAAAGCAGCACAACTTTTGCTTAGGGAACAGGCTAGTGAGTACCCGCGAGGCTAATGAGGCTGGGACGGCACGCGCACGCTCGGTGAGCTGTGCCCAGCCCCATGGCCAGGCCCCTCTGCGGAGAACTCTGGGTCCCTGCAGAGCTGGGATCTCCACACTGCTGGAAGTGCATGGCAGCCACCTTGCAGAAAGGCGGGCTTGGGGGGTGGGGGTGGGGGAGCCCAGGCCTGATGCAGGAAGGGTCAACAGCAGGGACTGTCAGGACACAGCAACCCCTTCACTCAAGCTCCTTTGTCAAGGTTCACTCTGCAGCACACCTGGGATCTGATCTTTCCCAGGATGCATAGTTCACATGTCCTATTACGTTTTGATACTGTATATTTATACCACAAACTAACATTAACGGTCACGTGATCCCATAATGAGCTTTGACTTTCAAATGAAAGAGGACCCAGAGCTTCGTGCTCACACTCTGCGTGGTGTGGGGTGGACGGCACTGGCACCGCAGGGTTCCTGGGGAGCCTGGGGAGGAGCTGCTGGGCAGAGGGCTCGAGGAGGGGAGGAGCAGGCAGAAAGCAGGTCGGCCCCTGTGCCTCCACCCAGCACCGCCAGAGGACACACAGAGAGACAAGACAGCAGCGCCTCGCCTACCTGCTGCCGATCCTAACCACGCTGTCGTGCACAAAGTGCAGGAAAAAGTCAAACAGGTCGCTGCTGTCCTCATTCAGCGAGCAGCTCTGGAAGAGCAATCGGCGGGAGGCAGATGTGAGCGCAGGGCGTGTGGAATCAGATACCACGGTGCAGCCAGGCCTAGCCAGGGCCAAATCCTCTGAAGGCTGCCCTGTGTGGGGCCTGCCATGCCGGGCCCCTACAGCCCATGGAAAGCCCACGTCACGCTGCGGAGATGAAGATGAGCCGGAGGGCTCAGGCGGCTTGGTCCGGGCGAGGCCGGCGACCAGTCAGTACCCTGGCCTCCAAAGCAACATGCTCCAATGGCCTCCGTACCAAAGCCTCTACCACACCACATGGAGCAACCGAGAGAGAGAGACTGGTCGGTGAGGACACAAGGAAAACAGCGGGGCACTGAGGCCACACACTCTGCAGGGGGCAGGGCCAGCACACCTCCAACCGAGTCACGAGCCCAACAGGTGTCGGGGCGCCCTCCCCACGGGGACACCGAGGCCCACCCTCCCCACGGACACCGAGGACCTCCCTCCCCACAGACACCGAGGCCCACCCTCCCCACGGACACCGAGGACCACCCTCCCCACAGACACTGAGGCCCACCCTCCCCACGGACACCGAGGACCGCCCTCCCCACGGACACCGAGGACCACCCTCCCCACGGACACCGAGGACCACCCTCCCCACAGGGACACCGTCACTCAGGACACCTCCCCCACGGGGACGGTCACCCGGGACACCTCCCCCATGGACACCGTCACCCGGGATACCTCCCCCACGGACACCTCCCCCACGGGGACCGTCACTCGGGACACCTCCTCCATGGGGACCATCACTTGGGACACTTTCCCCACGGACATTGTCACTCGGGTCACCTTCCCCACGGACACCGTCACCCGGGACACCTCCCCCATGGACACCGTCACCCGGGACACCTCCCCCACGGACACCGTCACCCGGGACACCTCCCCCACGGGGACGGTCACCGGGACACCTCCCCCACGGACACCGTCACCCGGGACACCTCCCCCACGGACACCGTCACCCGGGACACCTCCCCCACGGACACCGTCACACCGGGACACCTCCCCCACGGACACCGTCACCCGGGACACCTCCCCCACGGACACCGTCACCCGGGACACCTCCCCCACGGACACCGTCACCCGGGACACCTCCCCCACGGACACCGTCACCTGGGACACCTCCCCCACGGACACCGTCACCCGGGACACCTCCCCCATGGACACCGTCACCCGGGACACCTCCTCCACAGGGACCGTCACCCGGGACACCTCCTCCACGGGGACCATCACTGGGGTCACCTCCCCCACGAGGACCGTCACCCGGGACACCCCCCCACGGACACCGTCACCCGGGACACCTCGTCCCACAGGGACCGCTAATGAGGACCCCCCCTCCTGTGGAGTGTCACGGGAAGCCCTGGCCAGGGCCTGGGGACCTGCTCAATGACGACGGCGTCCCTCAGTGCGCTGGTGTCCTGCAGATGCTCCAGAAACTGGTGCATGTAGGGCTGCAGGTCTGTGAAGGTGGAGACCTGTGGGCAAGGGGAGGGCGGTGTGAGGGCGCAGGCGGGCCGGGACTGTCCAGCCAGGGCACAGTTCCCTCGGAGACAGAGTCAAGAGTCCTGCCTGCAGGAGCCACAAAATCAGCAGGCTGCTGTCCTACCCCAGAGCTCCGTGACAGACCTCCACCACTGGCCACAGGACACACAGTGACCCCTCTGTCCAGGAGGGGTGTGAGGAACAGACACCGTAGACAGGAGGACACTGCCCTGGCACCGGTGGTGACCATTTCTGTATCCCAGTCACTAGGATCCTTTCTGAAGAGGGTCGTAGAGCAAGACATGTGGCTTCAGATGCTCACGTAAAAAAGAAAAGTATAAATACCATCATCAAAGCTCACACCTCAAAACGACAAATAGATCAACAGAAGGAAGCAGAGCTGGAGAAAAACCCAGCTAAGCAGAAAGGAAAGCAGGTTAATGTGGCAGCTCCTGGAAAGACTGAGCGGTGAGACGCAGAGCCCTACAGAAGCCAGGAGCTCAAGCCTAGGGAGCACAAGCACTCAGGCCTGGCCAGGGGGTGCAGGGAATGACCCTGAGCAGACCACAGCCACCCAGTCCACACGCACGCGGAAGGCTGCGGACACCGGCTTGTCTAGAAGCCATCCCTACGAACGTACTCACTCTAGACCTGAGCCTCCAGGAAATCCTTCCGCCGCTGCACTGCGGGGTGGCCCAGGCCACAACCTGCAGGCCCTAGGGCTGGGAAGGTGGCTCAGTGGTAGAGCGCTTGCCTTGCATGCCTGAGGCCCTGGGTTTGATTCCTCAGCACACATACACAGAAAAAGCTGGAAATGGCGCTGTGGCTCAAGTGGTAGAGCGCTCGCCTTGAGCTGAAGAGCTGAGGGACAGCACCCAGGCCCAGAGTTCAGGCCCCACGACCGACCAAAAACCTGCCAGGTCCCCCCACACTGAGGGCAGGGCCCCACGCCACACGCTTCTCCAGCGTGCTACCCTACAGACACACCAAGACAGCTCATCTGAGCCAAGTACATCCACGTCCCCAGTGCTTCCCCGAGGACCCCACGTGTGGTCTTACGTGTCTCCTGAAGGACCTGTGGACGCGCCCCTGGACGGCCCGCTGGACCACGGCGTAGTGGCGGATGCAGTAGGTGTTCTCTCGGGGCCTGATGGCTCTGGCCACCACCTCTGCCAGTCTGTCATGAGGGAGGGCCTCATACGCCCCGGTCACATCGGCCTGCACCATTCACAGAGCTCTGAGTGCGGGGCCTTGCCAGCAGCCGGGGGTCCCGCTGGCTGAACCCTGGCTGAGCCTAGAATCGGGTTCTAGGCCCACGCCCTTGCCCAGAGCCCTGTCCCCGGCCCCCTCCGCCCCCAGTGGGACCCCAAGAGCAGGTCCTACCCTCACACCGCACCTGCCCAGAACGGGGACCCACAGGGCAGAAGAGGCCTGTGCTGACCCAGGACTTAGCTGACCACACTCGGGCACCAGAGCCCTGCTCACCAGCTCCATCTCAGAAGGGAGACGGGACCCAGCGTGACACCCCCCACTTTAAAGGAGCGAGGAAAGCTGGCACACAGCGCCCATGGGGCCTGGGCAAGCACAAGCCTCGGCCTGAGGGGAGGGGCGTCCCAGGAGTGGCGTCACCCCTGCACCTGCTCCTGGGGGAACCCAGACCCAGCGTCCTGGTCCATGGGAAGTGGGGGGCGGGGCAGGTGGTCACGCCCAGGACCAGCACAGCGTGCCAACACCAGCTACTCCCAAAACCCCAGAATCCAGACCGGGGGAGGGTGCGCGGGGGGGGGGGGCACACACAGCCCGGTGCCCACCTTCACGAAGTACAGCCTGGGCATGGGGTTCTGGGAACGCACCCGCAGCACCCAGGCCCTCCAGGCTGTGAAGATGTCGTCCAGGCCCAGCACGGAGGCCCCCAGCAGCTCAGGACGCCGCATCCGCTCGTAGGTGAGCACGCTGAACAGAGTCTTGATGTGCTGGGCGAAATGCTGGGCCTGGGCCACAGGGTGTGGTGGGCACAGAGGTGGCATGGTCAGCAGAAGGGGACCTGCTGCTTCCCCAGGGGCCGCTGAGCCCCCCAGAGCGAGCCCCCTGCCCGCTGCAGTTCCGGAAGGCTCACAGCATCCTCGTAACTCACTGACTGGGCATGGGACCCTCACCTGACCACTGCCTCCACCCAGTGCACGTGGGCACTACGCCCAGGAGCAGGAGTGGGCGGGGACCCCCTGAAGAGGGGCCCTGACCTCAGGACACAGCCCGGCAGGGCGTGTCGTTTCCACTCACTGGATCCCAATCGAGTGAAGGCGCCGCGGCACCTTTGCTTTGTCCCTTGAGGCGCAGGAGACAGCGCCGCCAGCGCACGCAGCCCGGGCTGGCGGGCACAGCTGCGCGGCCGCTGCTCTGTGGCGTTGTGTCCCTGGCATGAAGAGCCCGCAGCACACGGGCCCGTCAGGGCGTGGGTGAACCCTGCCTGGAACAGCGGACCCCACTGTTCGGGAACCCATCTCCTGCCCACCAGGCTGGGCAGGACGCCATCATCTGCTCCCCTGCCCGCCCCGGCCCACGGGGTGCACGGGCCTTTCCTGGGCCACCACCCACGGGTTCCACTGGCACGGCACGGGAGCATGGTCACCTTCTGCTCTCTGCAGACGGCTCTGGGGCCCACAATGTAGTCCATGTTCACGATGGGGCGAAGCCCACAGGGCTTGGGGATGAAGCGGAGTCTGGATGTGGGCAGGGCCGGTCTGGCCACCTGATGCTGTCTGACCTCGGCGCCTGACAACTCCCGCAGCCGCACCCTCTCCAAGTGCTGCCTGCAACAGAAGGGTTTGAGGAGCCGTGCCAGACATGGGGGAGGAGAGCAGGGTGCCAGACACGGGGGAGGAGAGCAGGGTGCCAGACACGGGGGTGGAGAGCAGGGTGCTAGAGACACGGGGGAGGAGAGCAGGGTGCCAGAGACACGGGAGAGAAGAGCAGGGTGCCAGAGACACGGGGGAGGAGAGCAGGGTGCCAGAGACACGGGAGAGAAGAGCAGGGTGCCAGAGACACGGG